AGCGGCTGCTTCAGACGAAACAAAGGTCAGGCGTAAGGGGAAGGGGGCGGATTTTGGCTCCAATTTCCCCCAAGCAGCGGCACAGGGAGGGGCTGCTACCCCCTCCTCTGCACAGGGGTGGTTCTCGCTGCACCGTTTAGGGTCACGGTAAGGAAATGCGGGATTTCCTCCAAAACCCAGAAACTCAAGGCAATCACCCATACGTGTGGAAACTTCCCCTGCCAACACCAGCCCCAACTCAACGTTCGCCAGGTTTCTCTTCCCGAGAACCGTGCAGTTTTACCCACACGGCAGCGAGCTCACACCGGGTGAAGTTACGGCACCAGGGGAGGTGCCGGGGCTGGAGCTGCGACAGCAGCGAGGAGCATCACACACCCGAAATTTCGATCACTCAATTGCACAGGTATTTATGGAAAGAGTTATTGGCTATTCCAATTAATTTTTTGCTGGAGGTTGTTTTTTTTTTAAGATATTTTCCTGATATTAAGATAATAAATTGTAATACAGGAAAGATTTACTAAAACCACATTTTTCAGCGATTGCCCTATCGCTGCAGTTGCTGTTTCATCGCTCACACACAGCCCAACTCGGGTGTTTTACCCTCCCCAGAGCACAAAACCCTCACATCTTGCTGGGAATCACAGAGGTTTGAGAGTCTCTAAATGTGCCACTGAATTCCAGTTCAAAATGAAACATAACAGTCCTGAATCCTAACCAGAAATAAAGAATATTTAACGCTACAGTAAAATCTTAAATACAGGGAGGTGATGCTGAAAACTGCAGGTACCAGACATGCGCTGTCCAGCCCCGGGAGCTCGGCTCTTCCCAGCTTCAGGTCTCAGACATTTCTAGATACAAGTGACTTAACATATTTGCAAAAATACTCCCAAGTTCTCCCTTTCACCAGGATAAACACTAACCCACGTTTGCTTCCTTAAAAAAGACCCCAAAACCTTCAAAGAAACAGCAGATGAGGAACCAAGCAAGCGATCAGGCATCAATATTTATTAACACAAGACAAAGGAAACACAATCAATGCGTTAATGGAACACTGTCCAGCCAGGTGTTAAATTTAAAAATGGATAGCTAATCTAATTTTAAATAAATAAAAACTTTATACATAATTACAGAACGCTGTAGTCTGGATTTGACAATGGTAAAGAGGTTGACAGAAACTAAAGAAAAATTGCATTTCGGGCTAAAATTGCTCTCGTTTTTACAACCTTATTTTTAGGACAGTTAGTATGACACATCTGAATTACATTTATTTAAACCAGAAATGCAGTGCAAATTTTAACAAGACAGGACTCGAAATTACCTGTACCCACATATTCTGCTAAGGGAATCTTCCTGAACAGTCAGAGAGACAAAACAGTTTAGTTCCAAGTGCGAAGAGTTCCTAGGTTTGAAGTTTCACTGCAGCTGTTGGCTGGGAATCTGACGGGCGAGAGCAGGAAATCATTTGCCTCCTGCAACCGCGTAAGCTGCGAAGTCAAAGGGACGGGGAGAGGGCTCTGCATGGAGCCCTGCGCTTGATTTGGCCGTCACGGAAAAGCACCCGGCCCCGACCACGCGGCACCGCCAGCTCTGCCAGTTCCCCGAAGTCAAACGGCTCCGTCCGCTCCCGCACAGAACGACACCAAACGGCACAAAACGGCCCCAGCTTTGGGCAGCCCCTTGGCCAACCAACAAATCCTGCAGCGGCCTGGAAGAACAAAGTGACCCTGACCGCAAAGAGGCTAGCATTGCAAACCCCGAGCACCGGTGCTGCAAAGGCGGTTACCTCCCAGGGACATTGTAAGGATGAGAGAACATCAGCGGCGGATGAAGAACGGAGTGAAATGACCCGTGAAGGCCTCAGCAGAGCTGGAGTTTGAAACTGGGGTTTCCAGATCCACAGCTCCGCGTTTCCTCCTCCCCAGTGCACGGCTTTCACTGCGCCAAACGTGGCCAAAACCACGCGGTAAATCAAAAGTGGGCAGCTGCTGTCTGCACTTACAGAGCGGAACGGTGCTGCACTGGATGGACAGGACCATAAACTCAAGTTTCTCTGTGCTGGAGAACTGCAACGCGCCAAAGATTCAGAGTACAATGTAAACTTGCACGATAAAACCTCAAACCGTAAGAAACTATCAATACCTGGCCAAATAAAACCCAGGGAAACAAAATAACAGTAATTACGTCAGTCAAAAATGCCATTTCAGAAAGCCCATCTGCCACAAACTGGGAATCTCCGATCAAATTCATACACGCGCTTTTTATTCCTGAAAAATAATGAGTAAAAATAAAAGGCAACCTTAAAATTGTACTTAAAATCCACTTCAGTGGACAAATAAAGTGTTTGTTGAAACAGCTTATGTAAAGCTTTGAGTGAGGAAAAGGTCGAGACCATCAGATTTTCTTCTGAAATGGGCAACAATGAAGTGAGGCTGCGCTGCACATCACCACTGTGCAAGAACATACAGAAAATAAAGGGATGCAGTACCAGGACTTGGCTGCTGGAGAGGGAGAACAACTCCTGTCCCTTTCCACCTTCGGTCGCAGTCCCAGCCTCTCACTGTCCTCACTTTGTGGCCGATGTGTTAAAACTAAACACAGGAAAGGCTTCATTTTAGGACTTAAGAAACCGCAGCCTCCCCGCTGCCGCCAGAGCCCTTCCCACCCAGGCAGCAGCACCGAAACTGCATCTACAGAACAAGATGTCAATCAAAACTGTGCACCTGTAAACTGAAGATTTGCCAGGAACTCAAGTCCAGGTTTGCCATAACAACTTCTGGTTTCTAAATCTATTCCCCCCCACCAAATATTTTTCAAAAATATAATTCAGAACTTCTTATTTAACTCTTGATGCTCCTGCCTTCAGTGGAGAATAACAACGCATCAAGAGTTTCTCAAGGACGAGCCTGGGCTTTGCTCCCGAGTTCATTCTCGAGACCTAAAAGCTCTGGATGAGGTAACCTGGAACGCTGTCATCACAACTTTCTTTACACCCTATACCACATTTGACTCCAAGGAACCCGTTGCAGCATCTGGGATCAGCTCTCATTGCTTCCAAAACTGTGTTGTTTTAACACAAATGGCAATTTAATTGTTCTGAATATTAAGTGTTAGATGAAAGAAAGGAGATTTTGAGTGAAAGCTTAAGCACCATCTCTGTCTGCAATTCCTTCCTAGCAGCAAGAGCTTGGCTCTGGGACTTCTGGACATTTACTCATATGAAAACCAACGTTTTGAAGGCTGGGATATGAATTTTCCAAGGTATTTAACGAGGTTTTTACCAGAATTGCTGTGTCTCGTTTTTGTGCCTCCTCCTGTGAAAGAACAAGTGCATTCAACTCCAACCCCAGAATTCCTGTTCTTTCTAGCGAATGCTTTGAGGAAAACCAGGTTAGTGCCTCCCAGCTGACACTAAAGCCTATTCACAACATTTCTTGCTCTACCAGAGGGAGCTGCACAGAACGACGACTGAATTGCACACCCGGCGACGTGCACTGTGTGTCAGTCTAAAGGATACTTCCTCTACCCACGAGGTGTCCCAGAGGCAGAGGCTCTCACTGGGGGCACGGTTTCATGACACGTTTCAAACTTGCACTGCCATTTCTACCAAATCCCACGCTGCTGCTGAAATTCAGCCTCTTTCAGAAAGATGTGCCTTCAAACCCATAGGTCTCCACACGCTACGAGACGTTTCTGGCCAGCAATGAAAGACTACGGACTGAAAGAAGAAAACTTGTGGAAGATGCGTGTATCTCACATTAGTCGTCCAACCAAATGTAATTATGCTAAGGACCACAAAAGTTACTCGTCCTTAAAAATTTCTACCTTCAGCTGTCATCGTTATCCAAGTTAATTTTCTATCTAAGTGAATTATGTATAATAATATTTACATATTTAAAATATAGGCAAAATTCTTTTTAAATTCAAGAAATATCTATATGAATAAGTAACTCTTAGATTCCGTAAGTTATCGATTTGGTCATGGCACAATTTTAAATAAGTTGTGTGATCCCGTGGAATGAACAGCTACAGTACAGAGGCAAAGTACATCGGAGAGTAGGGAACTGCAGAACTCTGATGACCCTTTTCTTAATAGTTTATTATCCTAACTAAATAAAACCTCCCCTTATAGAATCCTAAAACGGTATTAGATAAAAATACAAATATGTACAACAGATGAAAAAAGTAACACTACTGTAAAGGCCTTAGGAATTTTGTAGCTCACACACTTGTCAACTTTGCGTTTTCTATAAAGCTAATATTTCAGTAAACCGGTACAAACGTTTTCCATCGTCTACCACATTTCCTTTGGTCCGTCGGTAGTTAACGCCACCGTACCACCGCAGGATGAGATGAAGGGAATATGGCAGCAATCTCCAACTTTAGATCAAGTATTAGTAATTTTCACCAGCTTGGTTTCTACAACCACCCGGGCTCGTTCGGTGGTCCCGCAGAGTTTCTGAGCGTCGCCTCCCCCATACACGTCACATGTTATAGGCGACGTAGATGGGGTCCAACTGGTCGGCCAGAAAACTGTCGCGGAGATGCATTCGTTGTTTCTCTCCTCTGGAATTGATGGGAATAACTCCGGGATCCACCACCACCACCACCCCCACGATCAGGTAATGTTCCTCCAGGACCACGTTTGTAACCAGAGGAACCAAATCCAGGGCTTCCTGCTCGCAGCCACACAGCTCCACCACCACCACCAGCAAGTTGGTCCACGTGAATACAGCGCTAAGGAGAAAAGGAGACAGAAAATCCAGTTATTTTCTCAGAGATCCAAAGTTCACAACTCTTCACCCTCAGGTGGAGTTTACCACCTGCTCTGGGCCGTGTTTCCAAGTGCCCTAACTCCAAGACCTAGTCCTGACTGTCAAATATCAGCTCAAATGATCATCTCACACCACCCTGTGAGACGTGCACGCTAAATGCTGCCTTCACTGACTCAAACACAAACGGTTCTGTGCGCCACGGAGCAGGAAATCATCATTTGTATTTTGAATTAAGGCTCGTGAGAAAACATTGAGTCAGTCAGCCCAGCGTTATTCTGATCTACAGATGGGAAACGAGGTGCATGACTCGCTGGTGGTAACGCAAAGAAGTATCTGAATTTGCCCGATGTATTTTTTTCTATTAAATCCTGCACCTTTGCACAAACATGGCTAGGCCGGGATGGATTCATTTCTCACGGGTGTTTTACCATTCAGCAATGCTTCTGTGTGTCCGAGATACAGAAGTCTCAATATCAATTGGATGGTACCGCAGTCCCCTCAGTTCCAAAGTTTCATCCAGTGCTCCAACAACGTACAGTGCATCGTGGCGCTCTGCAGAGGAGAGGAAATGAAGCAGACTCACACCATGAAAACAGAAAATAGCAGGCAATAAATTGAATTTACATAAAACAAAGCATCTCTCGTATCCAGGCACGCGGATCAGGACTTATTTGCTGCACAGTATTGAAAGAAAACTCTTCCTTTAAAGGATGAGGGCTGATTTCTGCCGTACCTCCGCTGGCAGCTGTGAGCTCCGTCCGCCGAACAAAACCGAGGTACCCGGTCCGAGCCCAGAGCGTCTGAGCGGCATCGCCGAAGCTCAGGCGCGTGTTGAAATGATCCGCTTGGAGGGTTTCGTTGTCGTAGATGGTGTAGTAGCCACTGGCCGTGTGCGGGCTGTTCACCCAGATCTGTACAGGAGGCAGAAATCCGGTCAGATCCACACGCTACAAAACCCGAGCATCTGCTGGGTATTAAAATGAAGCAGATAATGAACGGTAACACGAAGGTTCTCTTTTTTAATCCACGATTTTCCACATCTAAAAATGCTTTGCATGTAGCTCAAACCTCCAAATATCCTGTAGGATCTTAAGAATGAAGTCTGGCAGATCTACCCTCCTAATAACTGCATAAATATATTGTGGATTTTTATAACGTGATAAAACTGATGATAATCTATCAACACAGATCAAGTATACTTGTGCATGATCAAGATAAGGAAAGCAAAATGTAAATTAGATTATTTGAAAGGCAGTTTTATGCAAGATTTAGAGAGGAATATGCCTCTCTTTCTAGCAGGCTTTTTCTTAAAGCCTGACAGAAAGATAACGCACCCAAATTCCGAGCACTCCAGCAATAATTCTGCATAAAAAGGCCTGCAAGTATCACCACTCACAAACTGTCACCCAGCAGCCTACACAATCCAAAGGAGAGAATACTGCTCAGGAAGCAGACACCAGGAGAGGCTCCCCAGATAGCGAAATCTGTGCTTACCTCCCCGAGATGAGAATCTCCCAGAGGCCCTTTTGTCTCGGGATTCACGATGACTACTTTGACTCCAGGTAAAATCTGATGGTCACAAGAAGAAGTGTTATCGCTACATGAATTATCTTCACACACAAGTAAAACACAGAGGTTGCTTGTTTACCTCCAGAAAGGCAGGATTTCACCCACAGAAATTACCAACAGGTACAGAACACGCCAGGACACGCACACTGAAGGTATTTCATGACTCAAGAGCCATGTAGGTAAGGCTTTCTAGGCCTGGAAATGTTGCTAGACCTTGATTTTGCAGAATTTAACGTCAAAAAACCTACTGGGAAACATCTTTCTGTTAAGCCATTTAAAGAAGGGAGTAAGAGCTACAGTAAATCTCAGATGCATGCTGGTTTCAAGGACACAACAGCAGCCACTTTTGATACGGTTCATTTACTGGAAATAAACCCAATCCTCCCAATTGTTTCAGCAAAGCGTGCTCCTAAATCACTACATCAGGTTCTTTATTATAATCCATGCCTCCAGGTATTAACATGAAATTACCTTCCCAGACTCGGAAAGCAGCAGGCTTTGAGGAGCTCCCCTTTCCACGAGACGGACCCTGTAGGTAAAGAAAACATCGTCAGGGAAAACGAGAGCTCAAGTCCACTGAGGTGAGGTAGCCCAGTGCCATTAAAACATTTTATAAAGTTATTTAATAAGTTTAAGTAAACTTACTGTACCTGTCATGTCTCAAGGACTTCAGATCCACATACACCGTGGTGGGATCGGGTCCAGATGTTCCCTGAAGAGTTAACATTAATAAAAAGAAAATTAATGTATTCACAGAAGTCAAGGTAACTTCTGCCTGAGCTCATCAACATTTCCAGGAGTTTCTTGCAACAAAACTCACATTCACATTTCTCCAGCTCTGCACTAAGGGAACACACCAGTGACCAGGCTGTTTTCCCTCTACATGGAGTGGAAAACCAGCGTGGGATGCATTTTTGGGGAGGTGGGAGCTGCTATGGGGCCAGCCCAGCTACCAGCCCTGGGACAGCCAGAGTCACCGTTTACATGGAAATAAATGGTTGGCTGATCTCATGTTCAGTTGTTTTGAGCATCTGCGATATAATCTGGCAGCTGAAAACAAGAGAAGCTGCTTAAACCCTGTGCCAGCTGTTCTCTAGAAAGCAGATGTTGGGCTGCACCAACAGCGCAGGAGCGTGTACAGAACGGGAAGTCTGCGATCCAGAACACAACGGGATCTGGAAATCTGACGCCAGTGACAAAAACAGGCACCAGGAAGTGCTCATGTTACCTGGAAACAGAAGTTACCTGTGTAAACACAAGTTACCTGTGTTATCAGAAGTTACCTGTAAACAGATGGCGACGTTGACTCTTGACCCGAAGGTGGTGCTTACAGCACGAGAGGAGAGGCCGATGTCTTTGAAGAGTTTGGAGAAGGAATGGGTGAGGGAAACTCGCGGCCGTTCCTCTGCAACTACCACGCAAGTCCGGACGCAGGACAGATTAATTCCTCGTGCCTGGAAAGGACACACAGGAGTGCAAAGGACCGTGTGTGTTAGTTACCCCTGCCACACCGCACCGAGATCCGACCTCACACAACAAGAGACATTTGGGTTTTATCCCTGGAAATGACTCAGGAAATGCAGGACAAACCCTGTTCTTATGTTCCAAGCTACTTAACTCTTTTCAGCTTCTATTTGTAGTTATAAAATGTGTCTGACCAGAGTCTAGAAATACTGCTAGCACAAAATATGCATTAACAGCGCCTTCTTCCTCTGCTACAGAACACAGCATCATGTGCTTCTGCAGTGCTTTTCAGCTAAGATTACATCTGCTATTCACTATTTATACAGATGGCAACCAAACCAAGAGAGAGTAAAGTCCTTTAGTGGGATTACACCGAGTCTTCAGCAGAACTGGGACTGCATTATTTCTGGATGTGATCGTGAATGCACTGAACAGCACCAGGCAGTTGTTTGAATCTCTGTGTTATTCTGTTTAACTGGTGACACAGACACCTTCAAAACTGTGTCACCAACAGAACGAGACTGCTCCCTGATCTCAGAGATGGAGCAGGCTATTTCAGTAAACCCATGCAAAGAGCATTTTATGTAGTTCTTTTTTTTTCCCCTTCCTCTCATCTCCAAGGAGAAAACTCCTCTATTTAGCAGCCTGCCTGACATGTGTGCTTTCCCCCATGTGCTGGGCTGAGCCCTCACTGCAGACTCTTACATAAGCAGTTTTTCTGCAGAGCTTTCTGCTGCTGGCGTCCTCTCGCTGGGGTTTGCCCAGCAGCCGCTGCCACTCGCTGCCACCGCGCTACCTGCGCCGCAACACATCCACCCCGCTCCTTTCCAGTCCTTTCCACGTCCTGGGGCTGCAAAGCACTTTTTGTTGCTTTTGCTTTCTGAGCAAGCTGTGTCCTGGAGCCTTGTGCAACAGGAAAACTGGTGTATTTAACAGTCCTGTCACTTTGCTTTACCTCCACGGTTCCCTTCATTTGTGTAAAGTAACATTCAGGACACACTTCTTACCTTTAACATTTCAACTTGGTTTCCAAGTCCCTTTGTGCACAGTTCCATGACTGAATAGGAACAGAAAGTGTCCCTTATTTTATACTGGCTGACAGTAGATAACCAGAGAAAAAGATTGGATTCCAGCTCCATAGGAGGAATTAAAATTGACTGGTGTCCAGAATACACACTGTGAAGAACAGGAAGAAAGAAAACGTTTCTGTGTAATGTGTAGTTATCTTCAAATTAATATTTACTGTATTTTCACATTTCATTCCTGCCAGACCAAAACCAGGCTGTGGGACTCTGCATCTGTGACAAAATGATAATAACTCAAATGCCCACCTTCTGTAGCAACGTCATTTTAAAAATACAACTTACTGTAGAGGACCAACAATTTAGACACACACAAATGTGCACACACTGTCAGAGGGAAGGAAGAGAACTGCCTCAAGCACAGTTAACAGAACGAAAACTCCCTTACTGTGACTTATAATCAAGGAAGAAAGGCAAGAGACACATTCTGGAGCCAGTAATACTTGGCAGCACAAATCTGCATAATCAAGATAGGATAACATCTTGCTAATCTGCAGGAAAAGGGAACGTACTATTGTCAGTTCAAAGACAAATTCTCCCCTTACTGTGAATTAGTCATTTTGGTAATGTCAACATAATCTGTCTGTAATTACACCAGATAAAGACCTGGACTGCCATTTCCCATTTATAACCAGCTAAGAGTTTATCTTTTCCTTTTTCCTACCTGCAAAGGCACCAGAGCACAAAACCTAATCCACAGTAGGGGTCCAGACAAATCGCGATCTGCCGGGAGGAGTAGAGCTCACACTGAAGCTTGATTGCCCTGCAAAGGCCGCTCACTGCTGCGTGGGACATCTGCAACGAGACAGAGAAACCGTGCTCCAGTTCAAGGACATCAACACAGGACTCCAGCAAGACAGGAAGGTAAGAATAAAGATGGGTTTGCCTTGATAACACCTCTCCATAAACTGTTTCTGCTTCCTTTATCCTCCACAGCAGAGGCAGAGCATTGCAGAGCCACAGTAAACCAGAAATAGTGACACCAATAGCTATTGCTTAAGAACTTGGAGGCATCTCAGACTCCAAACACTGATCTTTACTGACAGTCTAAGGCTCTCATTTTTGAGTTTCTCATCCTCTTCTGTCCATTCCTGTTCTGCTCTTGCTGGGGGCAAGCAGAAGCTCACAGCGTGGCTCTCTGCTCTCCTAACAGGCAGCTCTCCAGTGGGAGCCAGCAGCAGAATTCCCAATGCCCACTGTAAACCTGGCTTCCCACATTGCAGAACTTCAGCACAAAGTCACTCTGCATTGACTGCAGCGAACCCAGAGCTTTTATTGGAAAAGCAGCATGGTCTTTATTTAAGCTACAAGAGCCAGCTTTGGTGGAGGTGGAGGGGAGAGGTGGTTCAGAGCATCAGCCAAAGGCAAGACACCAAACCCCCCATCTTCTAAAGCTGTTTTACCGTACCTTTACTCCTGTGAGCATGCCCGTTGTGGAAACACTAAAATCTAGATATGCTAACATCTCAGGCGTAGGTGGCTTGTAGATCTGAGACAGCCGCTTCCTGGGCAAGTCATCTGTACAGGAAAGGAATAAACGTGGTTATCTCTGATTACTGAACTGGCATTTGACAGGAGAACACAACATTCAAAAAGCCTGAGATGGACAATAAAGCTTTCTATTAATTCTCTTTCCAAGATGGACAGACAATGTATGACAAGGCTCTTGCCAAAGTTCCCATGTAGAAAATTGCTTATTTTCAGGAAAAGGGAGAAGAGACCAACTCAGTCAGAGAAGAGCCACAAGGATGGGGAGGGCTCTGGAGAACAAGCCTGATGAGGAGCGGCTGAGGGAACTGGGCTTGTTTAGCCTGGAGAAGAGAAGGCTGAGGGGGGACCTCATCACCACCTACAACTGCCTCAAGGGAGGTTGTGGAGAGGTGGGTGCTGGGCTCTTCTCCCAGGTGATGGGGGACAGAACAAGGGGAAACGGCACCAAGCTGTGCCAAGGGAGGTTCAGGTCAGAGCTAAGGAGGAAGTTCTTTCCTGAGAGGGTCGTCAGAAGCGGGAACAGGCTGCCCAGGGAGGTGGTGGAGTCACCATCCCTGGATGTATTTAAAGAGCGGGTAGATGAGGTACTTAGGGATATGGTTTAGGGGGTAGACAGGAGCGGTTGGACGTGATGATCTCAGAGGGCTTTTCCAACCGAGCGGATTTTGTGATTCTGTGTGTGAGTCTTGTCTCAAAATCAACAGCTGTCTGCAACACGGCTTTTCAGTAAAATTATTTTCCATGCATAGCTCAACAAATACTGAAGAGATGTCAGCAAACGAGGTCAGATGTAGCTTGTATCTTGGATTACTCTTCCACATATTTGAGGAAATACCTAAGAGCCACCCAGTTAGCATCAGAAATGGGGGACAGTCCCTTTGGAAGTCAGTGGTACCACCTACACAGAACTTTAAGCAGTCTTTGAGTGCATGGACCTCACCTGTGTCAATGATGGTTGGCCAGGTTTTCACGTCGACAGCAGCAGCTGCCTCTCTGGATTTCAGTAGTCTCATTAAGGTCTGGGTTGTGAGGATACAGGCAGCTTTGCTGACCTAAAGAGATAAACACTTACTAAAAAAAGAGAAAGACAAAAGCATGTCCCAGTAGCATTGTGAGTGTATTTTACCACCCACAGCTACCATCCCTAACAAACCTGCATTTATTTCTTTGGTTTCTGCAACACTGCTCTCTACTCTTCCTTCACTAAAACACAAAATGCAGACTAAAACACAAATAACCACGTCAGGACCTTCAGAGCAGGTGAGAACACTGCACAGTCTGCATCTAGCTTTCTTCCAGTGGTTGTAATGAGGAGGTTGCTGGGCTTGGAAAGTAACTACTAGCAGGATCTGCACTTGCCCAGCAGTAAGGAGCATCAATGTGAAATTTTAAGCGCTAACAGCACATCAGTATCTCTCAGAAACCACCCGTTTCACAGCGATTCATCTTGCCACATGAGGAGAGGTGGTTCTCTCTTGTATTTTACAAATGAAAACTCTGTCCTTCAGCTGTGAGATGAGCATCAATCGCTGCTGCTGTGTGAACAGCACAGGAGTTTGGACAGCCGTGTTAACCGCTCGGGTCCGAGAGGCCGAAGCAGGAGCGCTGCAGCCACAGCACTGGTACTCACTTCCACGATCATTCGCACAGTGGGCAGAGTAGCGGTGAGGCTCTGAGCATGAGGAGGTCTCACGGTCACGGGGATGCAGCCAGCGTACAGACAGCCATAGAACGCGGTGATCAGCTCAATGCCTGCAAGGACACGACAGGCTGTAGTGCAGGACACTGAAGGGTGGATGGACACCCTGGGGACACCAGCCTTTCCCTTCAGGACTTATTCTCCAAGCACTGGTTACAGTTTCCAGTAGAAGAAGGTACACAGACTTGTGTCACTTCCACAGCACAGATGTGCAACATGAACAGTTCAAACACCGAGGGTGGCACAACAAGGGAGCTAAGAAAGCTTGGGATAGGGGACTGGGATGGTAGAGAAGATTGACTGCAAAGAAAACCATATCCATCTCACAGGAAAAGAATGGCCCAAGAGCCAAATGACTCAAAAGTCAGTCAGGACCGAACAGAATTGTCTGGCAGGGCAAGAAGTACAGGCACCAGAGAGCACCTCTCACAAGCTGTGAGCACCTTACACACGCCAGGTGATGAAGCTGTGTGCTGCGGGCCACAGCAGGTAAAAAAGGCACCCAGCAGCCTCAGAGGAAGCGCCCACTTTCTGCACAGCTGAAGGCAATGGCACCAGTCTCTACCAGAAGCCACCCTGCCATTTCTCACAGCAAACTACGTGCTTTCCCTGGATGAAAAGCTGCTCACTGGCAAGGTGACTTCAGACAAACAAGATCTGAACAGACCAGGAGCTGAACAGTCTCCGGTAGGGTGAGGAGCGCGATTTTCCAGCACATGCAGCGTGGTCACAAGTTTCTAATAACTCTGCAGTGAACATTTCGTACCAGAGGATCTTTGATAACCACAGAAGTCTCTGAAGTTTTTATTCTAAACGTCATGACACAGCCAGATCTAGCCAGGAGCGAGAAGGTACAAATTGGCTTTTCCAAAACTCCAGAGAAACGAAGTTCGAGTCCTGATGCTGCAAGACATTAGGACAGCCCTCTCTGTTGTCAAAACCAGATGAGCTGTACGGTCCCTAAAGGCATCACTAGTTCAATGATCTCTCCTGTATTTCCAGATCTCAATGAGATTTCAAGAAAGACCACGCTGCATTTCCACAGCGTGACGTGGTCGTTATTAAAACTTGCTTACCAGGAGGATAAAGAAGCACCACATTGTCTCCTGCATTGAGATGTCCTTTGTCACACAGAACTGATGCAATTCTCTCAGCTTTTTTGTGCAACTGAAGGCAGGTGGCTGTGCACACAGTGGTTCCCTTGAAAGGAGACAAAAAGGCTCTAAACAAGGCCTGGCACAACGGCTGCTGCTGGAAAAAAACAAACTTGCTTGCTAGCATCAGTCTATAGCAACTACAGTTATCTATACCTATAGGCTGCGGGCAGTAAATGAGCCATTTATCCACTACAATATCAAAAAGATAGAGATGGAGTTAGATCTGCTCTAGAAAATTCTACCTTCCAGGGAGTCAGTTCAGGTCTTCTCGCACCAGAACCTTGCCAGAATATCCCCAACAGGGATACACCATTAAATGATACAGGAACCAGTGGGACCTACAAACACGCTCAGTTTTAAAACGCAGCATTGAACCATGGCAGTCATTTAGACGAAGCGACCTACATAGCTTCAAAGGTTCAAATTTTAAGTTACAAATCTACGGGCAAAATCTGATACAGAGACTCCACAGAGGACACTGGGGTGTGCAAAAGTTTTTAAACACGGTCTCAAACTTGTGCTGAATACCATGCTGTGCACCTTAAAAAACCCAACAACTCACAGTACAGGCACTGACTGTACCTTGGCATTCAATAGAAGGAAGAGTGGGTGGTCAGGAGTTGCTTGAGCTCTCCACTGCAACACCTCTGTCAGGAACTGGTGCTGAAACAAAGACGTAGTAATTAAATACTGGTGCTTCTGCTTCAGAGGCAGTACTTAAGTCTGCTTCACGTTGCTGCTTTGCATTCAGCTGTAGGGTAAATTCTTTTCCCTTTCTCCAGCTGTAGCAAATGCTGACTTACCTTTTTAACTAAATCGTTGTCTTCTATTTGACCAAGATCTCTTCCAGAGGCCTGAGCAATACGCTTCCCAGCAACCAGGTTCCCCACCATCACAGAGGCAGGGCCAACGCCTGTCGATAAAGAACAGCCATGTGAAATCTGGACACTTAATGCCAGTGGGGAGGAGCTGGCCTAGAACTGCAACCTGCAGTACAGCAAAGGTACAAAGCTTCTCTGTGGGATCTCACTGCTCCCGGGCATGGGTGCGAGAAGGGAGGTCATGAAACCTCACTGACAGAGCTCAGAAGGCATTGCCAGTGTCTCCTGTTCATCAGTGGAGAGAATCCCAGTGAGTTCAGAGCTGGGAATCAAAATTCCTGGCTGACACATGCAAAGAGAGGCCTCAGACATGCCCCAGCCACAGGCCACAAGATGCTCCGGTCACCACCAAGTGGGACACTCAGGGTTGGAGACATTGCACAGCTTCCTAGCTCTGAGTCTGTGAACTTCAGTTTACTACCATGAAATAGAAGGTACTCGTGTTACCTGGCTGTTTCTGCCTGGGTTTTGGCAAGTTCGTCACACACGTGTGCGGGCACATGAGGATGTTGCACGGATGCAGAGAGCCCTCCAGAAAGTGCTGTTTGGTTTGAGAGATGTGGATCCCTCCCAGCGGAGTTTTTGGCAATGTATTGGCTGGCACAAGAGCAAGGCAATATACACCCACTTGGTGAATGCTGTCGATTGCCTAGAGAAAGGAAAGGTGGTCACTTGAATTCTTGGGACTGCTGCAGACAGTCTGCTGCTACTGGCTGCACTGGCACGCTGCAAGAGAAATCCCTGCATTCACAAGGTACTGGAGGAGCAAGGCAGTCACCACTTCACCTCTAGCATCAGCGAGCCCTATGGTAAGAGCTACGTGCTTGTCAGCATCCCTGCCTTCATAGTCCATTTCGTATACACAAAATCCTTTTTTAAATCTTTCATGACCAAAATCCCAAAATACACACAGTTGCTCAATGAATCATATGATTTTGATGTGAGGTTTTATCCATCTGTCTCCTCTGAACCATCACACTCTGTTCCCTTTTCGTCCGCCTCAGCATTCAGGCACCTGATACATTATTCAGACCACCAGGTACTTCCCTGATTTTTCTCCTCGGTTTGTATACTTCACAGCCTGAAATATCATCCCCAAGAATGACATACATGCAATGCAGGCAGTTCTCAAAGTAAGTATCTGCTACTCATTCTGCTTTCTTAGGACTACACTCATTTTAACCTTTCTCTGCTTACTGTCTCGCTGCTGCAAATCCATCTCCAAGGACAAGGGTGGCTTTAAAGAATAATTCTGAGCACCAGCGTGACCCAAGACTAAAAGCAGAACTCCTAAGCTTGAGCACTGGATCTGCTTTGCAGCGCTGAGAGGACACTGGGCTTCTGTTGCTCGCATACTGCTGACCAGAGCCTACGCTACTCCGTGTGGCAGCCGCTTTCCCAGGACCTTCAGGACACAACGGAACAGCTTGCACGCAGCAGATGTACCCAGCTTGTGACCCTGGAAAAATACCTTGTGCCAAGAGGGATCATGAGCCTGTGCTCTTTCCATCTGGGCCGTGCTGATGGCCTCTGATCTGCCCACACAGTGCAAAACCATACAAACCTTCCTCGTCCACCTGTGTGAGGGGGTTTACCTGCAGCACACGACTCATCCACTGAAAACTGTCCTCTTCAGACGCATCTGGCCTCTGCTCTGCAACCACCACGATCCTCTCGTCATAGAAGACAGACACTGAGAACACAGCAATCCTGAGGAAATAGGAAGAGCGAGAATTCCAGTTTTATTCCTTGGGAATAGGAAGCCAAAGAAACAGACTGGAGTCATAAAAAAACCCCATGGGGCAAAGACAGAGAAAAAACATCAGACAATTAAAACTGAGTCAAAAAGGAAAGACTTTGTGAAGGATGTAGGGATTAATTCCCCCTTCTGATGACATCTCTACATAGCGTAGGCCCCTGTCCTCTCAACCTGCTGCCACATTTCTGTTCCAACCTGTGGCAAATCACCAGTGGTTAAAAGCTTTAAAAGTATCTACATGATGTAGGGGGTTTAAAATCTCCTGTCAGTTCTTGGAGACACGAGCTCCAGCCCTGCCTGAGGATACAGAAAATTATATCCACAACTGCTAAACAAAATTAAGTATCTCTGGACATTAATGAAACCCGTTCTTGCTGCAGAACACGAGCCAGCGGCCAACAACTACAGAGAAGTAAAAGGAAACTCTACAGAGACAGAGAATTAAATTCTCCATGTGGTGACTTATCTTGTTACTCAATTCCTGCCCCTAAAGCACACAGACTTGATGAAAAGCCAGACAGGACTGGGGAAAACAGACCCGTGTTGGGCAGGATCAGGCCAATTACTGTCTAAACCAAAACCATATTTACTTTAACTGAGCTACCCGAACAGTTACTGGAGAGAAACTGAAGATCATACACTACAGATCCTGTTTCATTACATCACATGCAGAAGGTTATTGGGAAGGGCAAGGTTTATTTTGCTAACCTTCCTCTGTAAACTGTTTTTATGGACTCTACTGCCAATCCAGTTGCTACGATGTCATCGGCGTTGTGTCTGCGGCCGCTCACCGTCAGCAGCCCATCCATTTTTCCAACCACAAACACCAAACTGCCCTGAAAGATAAGTAAAGGTATCTGTGAGTAACTTACACTTACACACAAAGCAGGTTTTCAAGTGTCTTTCGTAACTATGGCTAGATCAATCTAATTTATATAAAGTACATTTTCTTTCTCTTTAAATTACTGTTTATGACTAAACCAGAAGCATCCAGCCACTCGGTGAGACAAGACTCTCCAACACCCATAGCAGAACTGCCAAGCAAAATGCTTCTTACACCTGGTATTAGAAGAATGAGCAATCTAAAAATGTAACGAGCAACACAGAAAGGCACTGAAAGGACAACGTGCTGGAAAAGTCAGGGTTCAAACTGGCTCAGGCAAAGCCATCAACTCTCAACTGTCTTATCGACAGTGTTCAGTGTGTTCAGTTCTGGGCCCCTCACTAGAAGAAGGATGTGGAGATTCTGGAGCGTGTTCAGAGAAGAGCCACAAGGATGGGGAGGGCTCTGGAGAACAAGCCTGATGAGGAGCGGCTGAGGGAACTGGGCTTGTTTAGCCTGGAGAAGAGAAGGCTGAGGGGAGACCTCATCACCACCTACAACTGCCTCAAGGGAGCTTGTGGAGAGGTGGGTGCTGGGCTCTTCTCCCAGGTGATGGGGATAGAACAAGGGGAAACGGCACCAAGCTGTGCCAAGGGAGGTTCAGGTCAGAGATAAGGAGGAAGTTCTTTACTGAGAGGGTCGTCAGAGAGAGAGTTCTTTACTGAGAGGCTGCCCAGGGAGGTGGTGGAGTCACCATCCCTGGATGTGTTTAAAGAGCGGGTAGATGAGGTACTTAGGGATATGGTTTAGGGGGTAGACAGGAACGGTTGGACGTGATGATCTCAGAGGGCTTTTCCAACCGAGCCATTCTGTGATTGATTCTGTGATTCTGTGACAGCAAGCTACTCTTACATGTGCTTCTGCACACAAATGCTTTTCTTTTAAATATGGAAGGCTGCTCAATGCAAGCTCAAGAAGTGTTTTACGTACCGGTCCAACAAACCCCAGCAAGCCGGAACGGACAAACGGCACATCACCCACCGGAGAGCCAGTCGCGTTCACAGGGATCACCTGCAACAGAAGGAGGACACTGGAGACAAAGTGGATTGGCCTAAGGACAGAAAAACATTCCCCACATCAAGAACTGCACTACATGGGAGTGAAGTGATGAGAAGGGGTTGCTGTCATCGTTTTAGCACTGTGGGGGACCTTTAGGAAAGGGGAACACTGAATGTATCGAACTGTAAGGAGTTTTAAAAGACAACATTAACAAAACCAAGAGACTATCCAAGGCTATCAGATCTACACAGGAAATGGGGAATAAGATGCATTCCAGTATACATACCTCAAATGTATTCTTTGTCACCCCTGCCAGCCCATAATACATCATTCCTCCTGCTCTGGAGCTAACGCAGATCTCACCGATCTCATCTGTTTTGCAGAGCTGAGGTGGCCCATCAGGTTTCACAATGCACATCATTCCTAGGAGAAATGGTTTGTTGTTAAAATAGTCCCCAAGATTTGCCTTGTGTAAGAACCGACACATTTAACCGTGACAGATCCGACAACACGGTCAGGGAGTCCCTAAACTCCCCCGGCTCAGGCTGAACGTGGACTGGTTCTTTCTGTAAAACACCCCACATCATTCAGAAAAAGATCTCAGAGGGGACTCCTGCCCATTTGTACCTCCTGGCATCACATGGCCAACATCCTGGACCGTGAGAGCAGAGTTTTTATCTTCAGTGTTGACACGAATCACTCCAAAACTCAGCCCGTTCATGGACAGGATGGCTCTTCCCGGCAAAGGCGCCCCAGGGACCCCAGGCCTGTGAAGGACACAAAATCAATACGCCCAATCAGGCACACAGCCTATTATTAGACTGGGATGAAGATATCGCAGCAACAGGAATATGCATATTGCAGTGTCTGTTCTTTGCATGGCAAATTTAAAGCTGTGAGATGGCAGTGAAGATTGCCTCCCTCAAGAGTCGTGTTGATCAGTAAGAAACCTTATTCTTGGGCAAGTGCAAGTCTTCCTCCTGCTCTTTAGCTTACCCCATATAAACACCAGCTCCCAGGCCAGATGATTACAGGGCTATTTATTACAGAAGGCAGCAATGGACAGAAACAGACTATGAAAACGTCCAAAGTGGTATCAAATTTAATCTCAGATTCAATAATACCACGCTAGCTGTGTAAATCAAGAGTAGGAAAAAGCAGTGCACAGTTCTGGCAGGCACTGTTGAGCTGTCAGACATCTTACAGGAGAAAAAGCACTCGTATCTCGGGAGAAATGTTTAACAACTCCAGTATTTCAACACCTGAGCACACACAGTAAATGTCAGTGGAGCCTATTACATGCTTAAGTCAACTATGACCAACCGATGTGTGAACAAACCTCAGCCTGGATCACTTAATTTAGCAAACAGACTGCAGTGCTGCACGCCCATTACCTCCGTATTGCAATAGTCATCGCTTCTGGAGATGTGGCACATGGACAGATTGCTTCTGGTTTCAGCCCATGGCTCTGAAACAAGCTCAGGAAGGCATCACATGAGGAAACAGACCCTGGAAATAAAGAAAACATGCCACTGTGACTTGACATGATTCAGTTTTTTAAATTGTCTGCAAAATAACTTAGAAATAAGTGCAGTGTATTTGCAGGGTACATCTACTGTATCACTCCAGGTAGCATCTTCCAAGACAGCAGCCACAAATGAGCTTGGCTCCCTACTGAATGTGACCTGGGAAGAGGTGAATTCTCTTGAACAAGTCTGCTTTTCTCCCCCAGTTTGCTTCAGAGCTGTTACACGCTCACAGCACAACAGGAGGCTTAAAATAGTTTCCAAACCTCCAACAATCAGTGTAGCTACGGAGGGTCTGTTTCCATGCAGCACGCATAATCCAAACACGTCTAAAGGTATTCCAAGTATCCCCTCCAGTTGGTGCCATCCAGACAAACGCTCTTTAAGCCTTTTCACTACCAGCATTCCTTGCAGGTTTTTCTGGAGATTTTTTTCCCCCTTCAAAGTTCTTAAAAGCCTTTACTTTACCCCCTGTGAGCAACTGAAAACCAACATCGCTGTGCCTACCAAAATCCTGTTGTACACACAAGGCTCCCCATTCCACTCTCCTGTTTCTTTCTTTGCAGCATCTTTCACAACGCATCCTCAAAGGATGAGAGCAAGAAAAGCCCTTGCCCTGGTGCTCCAGTACCACAACCCACAGCTCTGTGTTATGAGAGAGCTGCCCTAACCGAAACCTTCTTGGAAGAACCTACAAAAGGAGCTAAGCTTGAGGGTGTGCACACTCACAAGGATTTGCACCGTCGGTTACAATCAGCATGCGCAGAGAACTCAAACTGACGTCTCTTTGGTCTCGATGGGCCATCATGGCCCAGTGCAAGTCTCGACACTTGACTAAAGCAACTTTTGCTGCGAAACAACACAAAGAAAATCATACAAGGACAAATAAAAGCTTTCCGTGAGTCATTTTCACATGAATACACACTCCCAACACTCCCAAATGAGAAAATTCTGACTAAAGCAAGCAAGCCTTAATAAACTGAGCCTGCAGTGACAGCAAACCCCAACATACCACAGCATCTGCTGTGGCACACAGGCCATTTGCCCACCACCTGAGCCAGGGTCTGTCACTATTGCAGCCCCTCCTCCAAAATGCAGGAAGCATTTTCACCATCTGAACGTCCCCGGTGAGCACTGGGCATCAATGGACCTTGCTGTGCTCAACCCTTTCCTTAGTTTCATAAAAAGCACTGGCTTCAAGGACACAGGCTGTGAGTTCCCCATCAAGTTTGCTGACATTCACATGGCATTAGGACTTTGTGAATATTTAGAAACACAGAGCTTTGGCCCTTGGGGTTTGTCATTGAAGAGCAGTAAGACAGGCTCTGAAGCATTTGAGATTTTACTGCCTCTCACTCGTTTATCCTGAGAAATTTGAGCTAAAGCTGTGGAGCGGACACCGATACCTTTGTGGGCGTGAACTCTCTGCACCCATGAGAGCGGACAGGTTTTCATCACAGAATAGGGCACACTGATAGTGTGCAGTTTGTTCATTACATTCTGAAAAGTAGGAGAAGATTTTTAGAAAAGGGCTCACAGAACCTATTATGAAGCAGAAACAGGAGTCACCCTCACCCTCCATCAACCCCTACCCCACCACAAATTCATGTAAGTTTACTGAGGATGCTTCTACACTTCCCTCCAGAGACCTGCAGATCTATCAGGGAGAGAAATGGTTGACTTCATAGATAATGGTCCTCAACCACCCTCTCAAAAGTTGCTATTATAAAGAGTTATGAAATGCTCCAGAAAGTCCTTACAGGCTCAACTCACCGTTAGAATGCCATGCCACAAGCCTGCATCCTTCTTAAAATCCAAAACATTCACTATCGTTTCACCTGGGGAAAAAAAACCAAGTTGGAGTTTTGAGGTGAAATGTGCCAGGACAGCTGTGATCGTTATTTATACCAAAATCTGCATACGCTGGAATCTGCCATTCGAATCTGTCAGATCTGCTCCAAGAGGTACACACGTAGCAGGTTCAGAGCCCTGTTTGTCTGATGATACGTTTATAGTCAGAACTCCTTGTTATGCAAAATAACACAACTGAACAGCGACTGAAGAGAAGGAACACAGCCCAGAAAGTTGCAGGAAAATTACATTCCAGCCTGTAAAGTACATCAGGAGGACAGGAAGGGTCTTAACCTCATTATGCAGGAGCAGGGGAAGAAAGCAGAGAACATCATTCATTCACTGACTCCCAGAAGCAATGGAAATTAAAGTAACGGCTTCCAAAAGACAAACTCTGCATTTTAAAGCGCTATAACATACAGCTCTAAAAAGAGAGTTTCAGTCATGGATATATAAATTAGCTTGATTTACAGGGTAGGCCACACTAAAACCATACCCTACAGCAGAACTCTCTGTACTCCCACCAGCAATTTCCAGTCTCCATTTCTGGGTTAGTCAAAAAGCCTCATGCATGAACTGGTTCTGCACCAGCACAAGAGGAGCTCTGGTATTACACACACTATCAAAAAATAAAGTCTGAAAAGACACTTTAATGGTGATCAGTACAGCGAGAGGGAGACTCAAGCTTGCTGGAAAATGCTCCCTTTTTGATTCATTATAACAACTTGTTAACCTCCTAGACATGATATAAATCCCACTTTTTATTCCTCTTCACTGGGGCAATGAAATCGATGCAGTTTTGGATGGGAAAGGTTACAGATATCTTCAAGTTTGGGGGAGGATGAGTCTGCACTTGAAAGTAGATAATGTTGCACATTGGTTACTCAGCTGTTAAAAACATGAGAGGCAACTGCTGAAAATGATGTTGCTGACCCTTCATTGCTTTGATGCTGGGGACATCACCCCTACCTTCAGAGTAGTTGCAGGCCTGAGACAAGGCTTGGCAGTGAGACAGCATGGCAATCCGCGACACCGTGACACCCATCACGCTGCCCTCTTTGCTCGTCTTGTACTGCAGGAGAGAAAACAAGTCAGGGTGTGACTCCGGATCCCGCATACGGAGGACATCACATCACAGAATGTGCACTAAATAAATCACTGCTCCTCTTAAGCTGCCGAGATGTACTCCAAAAAATGCCTGTTTGTACCAGCAAGGTAGAAGAGTTACTCAGGCAAAAAACACGTTCAGGTAACTCCAGAGAAATGTGATTATATCACATAAATAGTTTATGTGAGTTGTTATTATTATATGTGAGTTTTAAATAGTTTTAGAATAATCTGTGTTATCAAGTCCACCATCAGAGAGCTCCGTTGCCCAAATTACCACCGTTCTGGAACGAGAACAGTGCTCTCCAACTCATTTTGAGCAGCACTCAAGGCCACAAAGGTATTCAAAACTAAAATAAGCTTCACAGCAGGTTGTACACAGTGAAAGTCTCATTTCAGTGGCTAGAAACTGGAAAGTTTAAGGTAGTGAGGTGAAGGCATTATCTCTCTAGTGACTAGAACATTAAATTCAGCTCATGGAAACTACTTTCTATTCCCCATTCACTACTTACCTCAATATATGCTGGCTCAGTTCCTGCAGCTGAGATGTTGGGCTGCCAGTCCTTAGGAGATTTGGAGAGATATTTTGAATCTGTCACAACCCATTTGAGTCTGGGCCAACCTAGGGCCAAAATTAAAGCGGAATATTAATAATCAGTTTTGTTTATTGAGGGATTTATATTCTGCAAGAATACACTAAACCCCCATTGTTTGTCCAAGTTCAGTTACACAAGGAAAACACCAAGCCAAGCCACGCTACCAGCCAGAAGGTGCAGCTCGTTTCTCATCAGGGAGTTCAGTGGGCAATGAGGCACTTCCTCTACTCAGGAAAGCTCCCTGCAGTATTTCTAAATATAGCTGCTCGTGTTGTTAATAAAACGGCTCCTGGACCTGCCAAATGCTGCTGAAGGGATCTGAGGACAACCCTAGCTCGCGAGGTGGATTCAGCGTGACTTCTAGGATAACAAAGCAGTCCTGTCAGACACATGGATCGATCTGCACCATGTGCATAAAACCTACAACATTAAGTGATGCTATCAGAAAAGCTGTCCCTTTGTGCCCCCCAAATGCATTCAGAGTTCTGATAACTACTTTCAGACAGTTCAGTGACAGCAAAGGTACACGTATATAACCAATCTGACCTTTAAACTGCACAATTTCTCCGTTTTGGGTTTTTGGAAGCCCTTTCAGACAAACTTCAGTGGTGAGGGCCAGAGCAATCCCACAGCTTCCCAGCAGAAAACCAATCTGCTGACCACCAGCGTCCTGAGGGAAAAGGGGAAGAAGTCATTTCTGCTGAAGGATGACGGGCGTCAACTTTCCCCTTACCAAAATGCAAGGTCTGGTAATGCTCTGGTAACTGGATGGTAACATTATGGGTCACAGAGAGAGGAAAAAGAAGAAATAACTCATGCCCACAAACACCCTTTGCTTTGGTTTGTCCTTCTCCCACACCCAATGTCTGGCAATGGTTTGAAACCCAAATGACAGCCACTGTCTGGGATGAACACAAACTCTTCTAACCTTACAAAGTAACACATTTTGGAAGATGACACATATCCAGGACAAATCCTGGCGGGTGAAAATGGAGACATGCCTACAAGCCAATAAAGTCCATAGGAAAACGATAAGCCATCACAAAAATGCAGAAGGGCTATTAAATCATCTGCATATCGAGTCTGCTCTTTTCAATTCGTTGTATTAAAAATTGAAATTATTATGTAACAGATTGCAGAGAAATTTGGTGATCCTCAAAGGGAACCCTTTATACATAAAACAAATATTACATTGGCAAGACTAAAACGCGCTGGACGTGAAACCCACAGAAAACAAGTGCTCGTGCCCGGCACCTCGGCATCGAGCAGACACCATTTATTTTCATTACTGGAAGCTCAGATGCTTCACAGAGGAATCATGCGGCAAAAATAAAGCAGAACGTATAATTACACTGAAATAACGAGGCCTCTCTTTCCCCAGGAACTAATTTCTATTGCACAATGATAAAAACACTGAAATGAGGTAGCTCACTAAGAAATCTGATTGGGCAAACACTGGGAGAAGCTTTAATTTTGTATCTGGTTGCTAAATCAGTTGTCACGTTGCAGACAAATGAAAGCAAAGCTCTGTGACTCCCACAGCATTACCAGCCTAGCTTACCACTTCATTACCACCTCTCTTGCCATATGTTTGCCATTATCCTGTTTCTTTCCTATCCTCTTACGAAATTCTATCGTTTCAGACGGTTCTTGACATGGCAACAATATGGCAACGTCACAAAACTTCTGGTAAGGGTAAAGAAAACACTTTGCTGAGCGCGTAATGTGCAAAAATTGCCTTGAAACCTTCAGAAATACTCAGCGACTTCAGCCTCCAGCAAAGCCTGGCAGCATGGCTGGAAATGAGAGCCCCTTCACATCGACCAGAGGACAGATTCACAACATTACGTGTGCCTTATCAATTATTTGCAATAGCAGAATAAAGACCACAGCATTGAGGTGAATCGACCATCTCCAGCTGCTCGGCACAGCGCTCTGGTCAATACGTTTTTCCATTTTTAAACAGCCACTGCAGGTTCGCAAAGGTCTGGCGCATCGCGTTGCTACAGAGCCGCTAAGGCAGCGGCCGACCGCTGTGAAACGCTTTCAGAGGCTGATGGTCTGACCTGGTTTTCATCCCACGTCAGCCCATGGCTCCTCTAAGTTCCAGCAACGTTACCTTTCTGGTAAGAGGTACCTCTATAGGCACTGGTATGACTTCTGCTAGGAGACAGCCGTAAAATGCCACCATAAACATGACGGGGTCGTTGTTGGGATAAACAAGGGCTACCTACAATTCACAAAAGAGTTTCGTTAGTTGAAATACAAGGACAAACTGCAATTTATAGCGACTAAAAGTCAGAAAACTCTGTGTTGTTTCACATTCTACCACAGCATTTTTCAGAGGGCTTCTTCAAGCGCCCTTTCTTCCATGAATATCTGGTACGCGCATAAGTTCCTCACGCGGTAACGTCAGCACTCCCTGCGGGCCCATACACACAAAAATGCACACGCAGCTAAACCACGGAGATCTAAACCACTGCGTCACTCTCAGAAGAGCTCTTCCTCAGATGTATTTCAAAGTCCAGAGCCAAGCAGTTGCTTACAGAGGAGCCAGCAGGACGGAAAAATCACAACAGTTCCTTTCCCAAATAGCCTGTCCCTGGGATAAGAGTCTTGCTATGAAGAAAACAAGATTTTAGCATCTGTGGTAAGTTACAACCCCCCAAACCCTCCTTTTATTTCAGAAGGAGAACCAGACAGTCCCAAACTTATTACCCTATCTCCAGGTTTTAACACGGGCTCATTTTTGGTCCCCAGTTTATTAAGCAGTGTGTAGGCCAGCTTGAGACTTCTGCTCCACAATTTGCCTAGAACACAAAGAAGAGAGACTTGCACAACTCTAAACCAACGCAGCACGAGAGAATATTTCAGTTCTTGACTGCTTTTACCCTCTGCAGTCACGTCCTACAGCGCTCTCGAGACCCAGGAAGGTATTTGCAACCACACTAAGACCAACAACCCTGCGCTCTACCCACCACTGCAAAAATTCAGCAACAGCAGGCAGTGCTCAACTCACCGTACGTGAGGGTGTAAACTGGTTTTCCTGTAACATCCAGTGCTGTCAGACAGGGACATTTTGCTTGCGTGGTTCCCCAGCGCTGCAGCGCTGCTTCTAAGGCAGGAGGCCAGTTACAGACAACTCCCAGGGGCTCCCCCTTCACAGGTGTCATCTGGCGTCCCTCCGGCTTGGGCTGATTCGGGTCAGGCTGCGGGACTGAGAAAGTTCAATAATATTTCTAGTTCATTTTTGCCCAGTTATTACAGTTAGGCTGGAAAGCAAACGCTATTCCTCATTGCTTTATGTTGAGCAAGCCCTATCACATTTCATTTCCTAGGAAAACATCATCAGCACAGCCTCCTCCTAAGGTGCTACCAAGGTATTTAATACAAGAGTGAGGAAAGTAACAGAGAGTTGGAGAAAAGAAAAATAACTGTACAAAAATAAGGTTGCAATGAAATTACCAGTAAAGACAAACCCTTCTGGGAATTTAAATTAACCTAAGGAAACAAAGAGGGTTTAAAAACCTATTTAAATATTTTTGTTAGTAAGTTCTAGCTATTGTAAGAAGTTCAGTGTTGAGGAGGCCACTCAAAGCTCAGCAGTTCAGGGAATTACTTCAAACACTGGTTTCGTATCAGACTGTTCATGAAGGCTACTGCTACCTGCAAACAGCGGGTCAGAGCCAACTTCGAAAACAAGCACATAAATAAATTCAGCACAGCGAATCAATACATTAAAAACAAAACCATTACTTGGTGCTATTACCTTCCACAATTTCTTCAAAATCATCCACAAAAAATTCTTTCAGGGGCGGCCTTTTGGGTCTTTTCAAGGTGTTAAGCAACTGCTGAATTTTCGTGGAGACTCTACTGCTCACAGGAACACCTGGAGGGGAAGATTGTGTCTAAACAAAGTGTTGAGCGTCTCTGTTAACATTTACATCTCACCTCCTTCCCCCAGAGGACACTTCTGAGGTGTGTCCACTCCTGCAACTACTGCCTTCCGTTACTAAGGGCTGTGCCAGTGCAGGGTGACACCAGTAAGCGTTGTATCAGTTCTGTATTAACTCAGTGGTCACAAAATGCCAGTAAATTCATTTTCAAAGCATTTACTCCCTTGCAAAGCCTCTGCCACCCCACACTCGCTGTAAAAGCAACCTACAGCTCTGTGCCTGCCTGCAGTACCGAGGAGCCGCAGCGCAGGACTGACAGCAGGAGGACACAGCAGGACCAGAGGCATCGATGCCACCTCTCCACACAAAGCTCCACACCAACCAGCTCAGAGCGAGCACCAGCAGCTTCGTGGAAGCTTAATTAGAGTTAAGAATGACATTATTTCATTCATCTTACCTTTCCTTTGGGGGATTCTAGGACAAAAGCTTTTAAAAGCAATTAGTCTACCTATGCATTTGTAATTTCTTAAAAAGCGGCAGAGAAGAGGAAAGCTCATTATCTCTCCCATGATTTTCTGCAGTTCAGTACATGGTGGATAATCGCTGCAGCACGGGAACGTGCCAATCCCAATGTCCTAACTGTGGCATGGGAACGTGTTCATTTGGGAAGTGTTTCAATGGGATAAACCGAAGCCACACGATTTGTTCTCCCAGCTCAAGTCCCTTCTGATTTCTGGGTACTCTGAAAGCCTCCGTACCATCAGCAGTGTCCATCAGGCTGGAGCGGTTCGATCCCTTGTGCATGCCCTTCACGATCCCCGAAGGAGGGAGGTCGATGGCTGCAGGGCGTGCTGAGGAGGAGGAGGAGGAGGAGGAGGTAGTTGCTGTGACGTCTGGGGGAACTGAGAAATTCTCTATAAAATGAGAAAATTGAGATGGCGATTAACATCTACCTTTTACCAGCAGGTGGAACAAGCACAGTTACCTGTTACCAACAATCTTAAGAATTTAACGGGCTGAATGTATGGGAGCTCTTATTAATGGTAAACACACGGCTTCCTACGTATTAATTAGGTGCACATTATCTGCTCTGGAAAACAGAAAATGAAGGAACGAGATGAGTGGTGGTTCCCCAAAACAGAATTCTTGATCATCTCTACCCTTCAAATCAGGCTGAATCTCTTGACCCTCAGCACTGGGGAGGGATTTTGAGATCCACATGAGCTCTGAAATATTCAAAGCCCCAGAACAAAACCCTACATCACCTATGCAGTGATCTCTCTTGCTAGAATTACACTAACTTTTTGGTCAGTAAGGGCTTTCTGAAACAAAACACGCGGGAGGCTATTGAGTAAAGCAGATCAGCAAAAAAAAGCACATTGGGTTGAAATTTCTTCCAGTTGGGTGGCTAAACAGTATGAGCCTGTCCAGCAGTTAAATAATAAACTTACAATCTAATGAACAGGGCGAGCTGGGTCTTACTTTTGTTTTAAGTTGCAAGACGCCGTGCTGCTTTTCGGATAAGTCTGTAAGCTTCAAAACTGCAAGTAACCCTGCACACTTCACTAATTCTCTCATTAACTTTCCCTTAAATAAGCGATTTTTGCTTACATGGGATTTCTTTATACCACCCAGCAGGTTCAATCATCTGATAGGGCAAGAATATTCTATTCCAGCTGAACAGAACCAGCAATTGTTGCTTACAACGCTAAAAACCCAACAATTTCGAAACCCAGAGGGAGCTTGAAGGAAGTCAGACACCGAGTAACTCCCACAGAAAGGGTTTTGTGGGTCATTCTCTGCGTCCCTCTTTCTAAGGGGAAAAATAAATATCCATTTCTGCATCCCTTTGGAGATTCGGTGGCAAGGAATATTTCTCGTGTAGCGAACTTCTAACACCGCTAGGAAGGACCTAGATTTTGTGCAACTCCAAACCTCTGCAGGACTTTTTCCTGCTCCCTCTGAAGAGATGTTTCAAATTGCGTACATGAGAGCTCCTGTTCATTTGAATTAGGTGTTAATGCAGGATAAATGTGGCATCTGCATGGCACATACACCTCCAACAAAGATTTAAAACTCCTCTTTTGTGTAAAACACTAATTAAGATTAGATAGTAGTTACTCTGTAGGTACAAAGCTAGATTACCTTAATTCACTACAACAGGGAAACGTGGCTTTCTGTATGCTTCACTTAAAACCAGCCTCTCTGCTTCAAAGACACGTGAATTATATTGGCTACGTTTTATAGGCAACTTCCCCAGTTTTCCATTTCAGAAAACAACTTGCATCCCAGGGAATAAATAAATAACAAAAATACCAGCCACAAAAAGAAGTGAAACAGTTAAAAACACCAGCACTTCTATGCACTGCTTGCCCCAAACAAGTTAAGCCAAAGCAGAGAGCACACAAAATACAGACATCTCCTAAGATGCGGTAATAACCTTAACAGCAGCTAAAAAAGACGAACATACACAGAGCAAAAACAAACTTGGCCATTTCATACAGAAGCATCAGCAGCAAGGAGCACCTCAGAGCCTCAAAAAACTGAGCCTGGGGTATCCAGATCTGTAGATTTTGCTCCGTCCTCTCAGTACCTGGATGCTCTGATTATTCCTCAGACTCGTCATGAAAGATCTGGGCTAAATCTCGACTCTGCTATAACCAGTTTTTGGAAGGACGTGTTCGTTTGTTCACAGACATGGCTGGGTTTGGTTCTTTTCTTTTTATTAACTCTACTGCAAACAATAAACCTTTAGGGCTCATAGCAAAATGAGGATGTTAAAACACAGCATTTCCCCCGCTCCCCCTGTGCTACTCCTCAGGACACGGATGCCAAACGCTACTCGCATACGGCAGCTTTGTGGACGCAGTAGCTTCAAATAGCTGTAGACATAAGCAACACAGTGTACAGAAAGAAAATCGTGGCTACTCCTCCTGTCAGCGCTGTCATCGCACCCTGGAGTTGTTGCTGCCTCCATAAGCTCCTGCTCCCCGCTTCCCCCTTTCCAACCAACTCGGTACTCTGAAATTCTCCAGGGCAAAAGCAATCGTGACGGTGCAGCTCCAACAAATCCTAGCGGGTTCCATCAAGACTAACTGAACTCTTGATCCGAATTTCCCTTCCGCAGCGGACAACTCCAGCTTTATTAACACAATCTGAACTCGAAGCAGTTTTTCTGTTCGTACCCATCTCCTACCTATTCGAGTATTGGCAAATACATCAGCTAGTGACCCACTGGTCCCTTTGCCTTCTCCATGGGAAAGTGTAGAAGATGCTGATGAAGATGTGGATGACCCCTGAATAGATCGGTTGATCCAAGACTCAGCATTCTGTAAGCTCTGATGCAATGCAGCAGAAAGAGCAGCTTGGCGCCTTAGCGACCCCTCATCCTCGGATGCGGAAGACGTGTCTGTGTGGAAGCAGAAAAGAAAATCTAGCTGCTTAGGGAAAAGCACATTGCACTGAACATGCTCTCTTTCCAATTCACATATCAACGGCACAGGCTTGTAACACGATTTATTTTCACAGGCTGTGTCAAACCAAGGTCACGTTGGCCAAACCAGAGGTTAAAGCAGCAGCGATCTCCCACGTGAACACATTCACCCCTTGTGTTTCACCCCGGTTTAAAGCACACAAAAGGTTCACCTCCTCAGGCAAGTATCCTTCCCCTGGGTTCTCCAAGTTTATTAACTCAACTCTTATTACTTTTCCATTCATATTCTGTGGTATCAGATGCTGTATTGCCTAAGTTTGCTAATTCTGAAATGGAAAGTGAGGGGTCAGTATCGTCGTCAGAAAATGCAGAGGAACAAAGCAGAATGCAGGCACTGGGAAACAAATGTGCCAAAGCCACACGCAGAAAATGCTTTTGTCTGCTGCTCTAAATGGGTCCCTTTCAATTGCAGAAAACAAACAAAAAAGCCAACCCCAAAACAAAACAAAACAGAGAAAACTATGAGGAACTGCATCCTGCATTTCTGAAAGAGCAGATACCTTGTCTAGCCTAAAGCTGTGAACTAGTTATTTATTTATCATTAAGAAACCACTCACTGCTTGATATCTTAGGTTGTACAGCACTAAATATAAGCATTCAGTTAGGCTTTGGCCTAAAATTTATGTGTTCTTCAGAGTGACTGCGTGCCTGTACTCTGGCTGTAAATCAAACTCTTAAATCATGCTCTACCTGCTGCCAAAGTAGAACACAGTTACGAGCTGAAGAAAATCCCCGATTCAAACCCCAGTGTAAGCTCTGACCTTCGTCTGTGTGGTACCCCCAGCTGAGATTGTGCTGTAGCCCCGGACAAGTCAATACAGAGCTGAGCCCCAGGCAGACCCCAGGAACATGCATTAGTCCCCAGCAGAAAAAAGGAAAGATGAAGAAAAAAAAGAGGTAAAAGAAGGAGTACGAATGAGCAGCCTAGCAGAGCAGTTTCAGAGAGCTATGAATTCATAATATTCAGATGACTTTTGACTGTGATGCTTCTGCACAATGAGAGACAACATAAAAGTCACTGCCGAAAAGGACACATATTCATTTTTAAGCCAGTGCATACAGCTGCTTGAAAACAGAGAGGTTTATTATTAAGACTTGATGCACATGCACCATCACACACACCACATTATCCGAGGTACTGTGCCACAGCCACTACAGGGGAGGGGTTAGGAAGGAAAAGTCCTGCAAGGGACAGAATCCCACAGGACCCTTTCCAAGGTCCCTGTCCACCAATGTGCATCACTGCAAGTCCTTTTCCCGGATGTTGAATATTAAATCATAAAATCAAAATGTGAATTATGCAACTGAAATAGGTGTGAGGGAAGCAGAAGAAGCCTCAGCCCAGAAAGCCTGCTCAGCTCTTGGTCCTTTAAGGGCTGCCAGAAGAAGGAGGCATTTTCACAGCCCCAACAGCAGCGCCAGGAAAACAAGCAGCCGCTCACACGGAGCAGGGGAGCTGCAGGAGTAACAGCCTACCTACAAATGTGCCGAAGAGCTCGGCTATTTTGACAACTGCAGCCTCTCCATTTGGAAGCTGTTACTAATGCGTACCTTAACATCCACACAGACACGCGCACGGCAAGCGCCTAACCTGGGGGAGTGCAGGCATCGGCCGGGGACTGAACAAACGTCGAGCGCCGCTTCGTCGGCATGGGCAGGGCCATCTTCTGCTCTTTGTGTTTTGCCAGCGCTGCTTGAACGGCTTCTGTGTGGATATCTGCAAAATGCAAGTTCAGAGACCCAGGTTTGCAACAGGAAATAGAACACACTAAGCTTACACACGTGCAACTGCTGCTGTATTTATGCAACCCCCCCACTTTACACTGCCCTCCCAAACAACAGCGTTTTGCCATCTCATGAGTGACATTTCCCTTTTTCACTTGGTGAACAGGGAAACTAACTGAGGTTTCTAAAGTGAGTAACTAATAGCAGGGCCAGGTTTTTCAGTCTGGAATCTTCTGGGTTAGTCATTACATTCTTGTGTCTTTAGTGACTTTTATAGAAACCCCAACCTCGCCAGATTGTTCCCCTCAACCAAAGATTAGCCTAAAATATGCCTGTACATAATTTTAAATACATAAACTAACAGTGTACACAGCTCCAGGTGCAACTGTGGTCTCTAAAGTGACAAATTCGGAGCCAGCCGTCTGATTCAGGAAAAACCTTATGTTCAAAAACCTGAATGGATGCAGATTTCATGCAAATCTTGACAGTTCCTGACTGCGGCTGTAAATACAAGCTGATGAGTAACTGAAACACGGAGCTACTCAGCCACTGCTGCTGCTCTTTGCAAGTACTTTAAGCACAGAGAAAGCCAGCTCTCATTCTCCAAGTGCCCAGAGCAGATACACACAGCAATCACCAATTCCAGCACAAATTATGATGCCTTGAAAGGACACATTCTTCCTCACCACAGGAAAATCCCAGGTGAACTCTCGCCCCTGCCCTTACCAGATCGGTAGCGTTCATCTCTGGCTCCCCCTGAGCGAGCTCGGTGAAATTTGGATGAGGATGAGGATGATGAGGATGATGCTGAGGCTGGAGTTGCAGCTGGAACGGGCATCTGAGTCCTGGATTCCTTCTGTAAAGCTGGATCAACCCCTGGAAAACAGTTCACCATTCTCAGAGCAGGAAATAAAAGCGGCTTTTTTTCACCATGCTTTTGACCAAACTGGAAACGTCTGTTCAGCCCATGAATACAGGGAGCTAAACAGATAACCTGATGGGAAATGATCATTTTACATAATTCAGCAAAGGACACTGGGAATTGTTGCTGCTGGAGTTTCAATCCTAAAATGACTCTGTGCATCAGTGGGAACTTTTTCAAAGCGAAAGCCAAAAGGTCGTACAGCTGTGATTACCCGCAGGTTGTCACCTGAAGTCACGCAAACAGAAAAGCAATCGTACCACCGAAATATGCAACACGTAGGAATTCTCACGAACTACCAAGAGATCACAGAAACGAAGAGGAAACCACAAATCCTGGACTCCGATTCCAGTTACGCCACTTTTGGAGTGTGTGGTTTTAGGTAAACAACTCAAGGCAAGCGCCTCGAGCCCGGGGAACCCCCAACACCAGCAAATCACACCTAACTCGCTGCAGAAATCTCCCACCATCTCCTGTACCTTCCAACACCCCAAAGAGCAGAATATTAATTGAATGTTACAGCAAACTATCTCTGTCCTCAGCCCAGCGTGACGTGCTCTGGAAAAAATTCAAGAATATGGGAGCACGGCGCTCCTGGAAGCTCTCTCCTAACCCCTGGCATTAATACTTGGGGTGGGAACCTTTTCAAAGCTTTTCACCTCTTGCTTAATTTTTTATAGTTCAGTTTGTGAGGGAACTGGGGTTGTTCAGCCTGGAGAAGAGAAGGCTGAGGGGAGACCTCATCACCACCTACAACTGCCTCAAGGGAGCTTGTGGAGAGGTGGGTGCTGGGCTCTTCTCCCAGGTGATGGGGGATAGAACAAGGGGAAACGGCACCAAGCTGTGCCAAGGGAGGTTCAGGTCAGAGCTAAGGAGGAAGTTCTTTACTGAGAGGGTCGTCAGAAGCTGGACCAGGCTGCCCAGGGAGGTGGTGGAGTCACCATCCCTGGATGTGTTTAAAGAGCGGGTAGATGAGGTACTTAGGGATATGGTTTAGGGGGTAGACAGGAGCGGTTGGACGTGATGATCTCAGAGGGCTTTTCCAACCGAGCCATTCTGTGATTCTGTGATCAACATTCAGTGAAGGCAGCTACCGAGCTTATGGATTAATGGTTCTTTAAACTGTCATGCCAAAAAGTGAGAACCTTTATTTCTAGTTACAAAGAACATATCCTGCTAGCCAGAAATCAGAGGAACAACCAACGATTCCCCATTTTCACCGGTATATTTTGGGTACATTAACACACAGCAGAGTTCTGTATTTGCTTATCAAAACACAACCATCACTTGTGCAAAGACGCCAGCAGCACAAAAACCTGAATGGAAAAGGCAAAGAGACCCCTGTGGTTTAGGTGCAGGATGTGGGAATGGGAAGACCTGGACCTCAAAGCAGGGTTTTCAATTCAAAATCTCAGGTTTCCCACATCCAAACCCATCAGTGTTTGTGTTCCCTTCCTGTCACTCTGGAACACGTTTCACTGATAGCTCCTTTAGCATCTTTGTAGTGTATTTGTCTTAATCAAAGGTGTTTTATTTTGATCCAATGACAAGACAACTTCACAGACTGAGAAGAAAAGCTTAACGCTTTCTGATCACTGGAGTATTTACGGATTCGAGCACCCACTAGATGTCAGCAGCAGATTTAACACTATTTTAAATGAATTATTAATTTCATCTCCAGTTTTCTCTTCCAAGCTTTGCATCTCATCTGCTCTGCAGGGCATCACAAGGCAAACATGACATCCCATTTCCAACGGTGTCTGTAGGTGACGTGACACACCAAGAGCAAGCTCTTTGGTTAAATATTTCGCTAAGATACAACACGTTACAGTGGCCTAACAAAGCGTTGGAGCACAGATGAGGGAAACAGCGTGGAGCTGCTGTAAATCCCAAATGTTACACAACAACGCAACAGAAGTGAGCAGGGCCTGGCCGGTGAGTGGTGCCTTATTTAGCATTTCCTTTCGAATAACCCCGCTGCAGCTGCAGTTTCTGCTGGCAGGACCCGAATCTACATGGACAAGAAAAATAAATTACTTCAGATTCGCTTTTGAAGGATGCTATGGATATTTTAATTTAATTTTAGCAGTAACGGACTGCTCTGTGATCCCTACATTTTGTTGAAGGAAGAGGCTCAGTGATTTAGAAATCCAGAGGGTTTTTTGCATGCAAAGAATTTTAGATTAAAAAAGTTATTAGAAGCATCATGGGATCAACAAGGAGAAATGTTTACATTCATCAGGACAGCAAGTGCGAGATTCATCTGAGAGAAGAAAAGCAGCAGGCAAACCTGTTATTCTGCTGTTTTGCATACAGAATTGAATGGAAGCCCTCGTGCAGGGCTGGATATTCATTACAGCAAAATGATCTTTTCAAGGTACATGCCTGTAAAAATCATGTAAATAAACTCGAGTTTCTGGGGTTTACAACCAGCCCAAACAGCGTCCCCAGACCGCAGGGGACAGCCTTGCTCAGCAGCACCCACTGCTGAACTCCCTCGATTTAGGAGATCACAGAATCCCAGAA